GTGTACCACCCTGGGTATAGCTTGAGCATATGAGACCTCAAGGCCTGCCCCCTCAGTGACACACTTCCTCCAACAAGGCCACACTTCTTAATAGTGCCACTCCCTATGGGCCAAACATTCAAACATGAGTCTAGGGGGCCATACCTATTTAAACCATCACACCTCCCCAACTTCTTTTGGTTTTGGTTTTATCACAGCAATAGAAAGCAAATTAAGAAACAGGACCATCCCAAGAGCAGTTCCCGTTCTGACCAGAAGGGCAGGGGAAGGCCATTGATAAGTCCACTGGAGGCGGAACTAATCACTGGGGCTGTAAACCCTCTACTCTGTTTATATAATTTGCACCTTGTGCAAATAGGGGCCCTAGAATAAATTTGGGCCTTAAAAGTGGGTTTCTTAATTTATAATGATATTGAGAACTAGCTGGTTTACTTTATTCCTACATGAAAATTATGCCCCTTAAAAATTAATAGTGCACATCCAATGAATTTTAAAATGTTTCAAACAGGTTTGTGTCTGTCATTCTTAAAACTGGAGCACTTACTTATAATAGCTAATCTCCATGGGGCTCTCCTACTTTCCCCCTGAGATCAAGAACTAATGGGCTGATTTGGAAGATGACATCTTGAGCATCTCAGGGTAAAAATGGAGAAATTGTTGCATATAATCATACTGAGTGGTCCTGACTACATACTCTGAAGTGTATAGAATTTTTAGATTAGTGGAAACTCCCCCTGTCCCAGATTTGTAAGATAAATGGTGATTCTAACTATAAATTAGGATATATCAGTCAATCTACATCCCTAAATTATAGCATAATGCAGATTCCAATATTTTGACTTACATTAAGAATGTTTGCACACATACACACACACAAGACCCAATGTACAGAAATGACAACGAAGTGCCTTTACCTGCCATGCAAAACTGTTCAACACTGTCAGCATTTTCCCTATAGTGGGACTGAGCAAGACTAATTAGGGCCAGTTCTGTCTGTGTTTGGTTCTAGTCAGGTCCTTTATCTGGAATCAGTAGAATCAAGTTTTGCTAATATTAGTGGACCCTTATTTAACCAAGCTACTTTTTGGCAAAGTGATGTTAAAATTGTAGTTTGTGTGCTTTCTATCTATTTTATGACTCATCTTCATCTTCAAAGTCACTCTTGATAGAGCTGCCTTGCGACTGGGTCTCACTACATGGCCCATGCTGACGGCCTTAAACTCGCGATGCTCCTGTCTCAACTTTCTGAGTCCTGGGATTATAGTCCCTGGGAAAACTTAAGTATTTTGATCAAATATGGCACCTAAGATTTATAAAGACCTTAATTTAAGCTCAACTTAGATTTTCTTATCTACAATAGTACCTCCCATCTTACTTCCCTTGCTCAGTTTTATTATTTTCTGAAATGATAACATAGTATATGATACACATAATACAAAATAATAACATAATACAATATCATGCTTCTTGTTTGCTCCCTCCAAGAGATAGGGAGCTGTAGGGGCCAAAACCATTGTCTCACCTGCAGAATCCATAACTATGTTTGACATGAAGTAGTTAATAAAACATGCATCGATTGGTCAAACTTACAGGTGGCCAGTAAAAGTTTCATCTATTGTAATTTTATACTATGTGAGAATAAGTTCACAGAATCACTTATTTACAGCAGTTTTTTAGAGATTAGAACATTGACTGGAAATCTGTTTTACCATGCCTCTTGTCCTTTTAATGGTGTGCCAAAATTTTGTGATTTTGTTATCTAGGAATGCCGCTGAGTAGATTTGGGAATTATAAATATATAGTCACAAGACACAGGAAATGATTATGGAGTAAGTCCCTAGGGTCAGTGTTCTCTACACAGCCCATTTCAATTCTTTCAAGTCCTCCTACGATGGCTGAGCTGAATTTAAATCTTTTTAATGGTAGCTTTCTGTGTGTGACTGTCTCTGCCAATTGTAATATATACCCAGAGCAAGGCTCTTCTATTTAGACAAAGAGATAACTGCATTTAGAAAGGTTCTATTTCCCTTTTCCTCCCATCTGGTTCCTAAAGACTCTTAGAGATTCGGACCCTCGCACTGAGTAGACATTAACAGCCGACTTTGAACACCAGCTCAGCGGATGCTTCTCTCCCAACCATGGATGAGTGGAGACCAATTCACTTGAGAGTTTAAGTTGTATGGCCAACGAAACTAAAAGGACAGTAACAGACTACCTGTCCTGTGGGCATGACGTGGGCTCCTCTTACCCACTCCTCAGTTTCTCACATTCGTTGTCCCCTGCACCCCCACCAGACCAGAAAGGAAGTCGACTTGATCCTTCTTTAGACCACCAATGGAAAGTGAGACTTCTTACTACATTTGACTCCAAATAACTTAGCAAGACAAAGTTAGTAAGTCAGAATAATATTCTACTTGTGTTTTGAGCAGAAGCTATGCATGTTTTTATGAATGTGTGCATGTTTATGCCAGTGTAAATGTAGGACAGAGACTGGCTTCAGTTATTGTTTCCCATGAGTTATCTTGTTTTTTTTTTTTTTTTTTTTTTTTTTTTTGTGTGTGTGTGTGTGTGTGTGTGTGTGTGTGTGTGTGTGTGAGAGAGAGAGAGAGAGAGAGAGAGAGTGTCTCTCACTGGGACTTGAGCCTTAGACTAATTAGACAATTAGGCTAGACTGCATGGAGTCTGGTGATCCACAAGATCCCAGTGATCACCCTCTGCCTCTCCAGTGCTGGGATTATAGACATATGCTTCCACACCCATGTTTTTACATTCTTGCTGGGGAATCACACTCAGGTTCTCATGCTTATGCCGCATTTTACTAACTAAGTCATCTTACAATCTCTCAGTCATATCTTTGGAAGGATGAGTAGCTTAAGCATAAACATGTATCTGTATGCTCATGGCTTCTCTTTTCTCCAGTGGAGCAGAACTACTGCAGAGGAAAATTCCTTGTCCGCACAGGTTAAATATATATTTGATTTATTCCAGTATCCATCATTAGCTTAATACAAGCTGAACTCTAACAGTCACTCACAGAGACCCTTAGTCTAGGTCACACGGCAGAAGACTCAGAACTTTGCACTCATATGATCAGCGATATGTGGTGATATATTGTGTACCTTAATAAACTTGCTTGAGGACTGGAGGACAGAGCCAGTCACTAGATCTTACCTCTACAAAATCCTCAGCCTAAAGAGAATGAGTTCCTGTTTCCTCATGCCTTATATACCTTTCTCTGCCCTGCCATATTACTTCCTGGGATTAAAGTGCTTCCCATGCAAAGGCATGAGATCTCAAGTGCTGGGATTAAAGGTGTGTGCCACCGTTTGACCTCTATGTCGAATCTAGTGGCTGGCTCTCTCCTCTGATCCTTAGGCAAGTTTATTAGGGTACATAATATATCACCATAGTGATACATAAATGTAGCTAGTCACCAAGTCTTGTTTCTCAGGCCATATCTCTTGCAGCAATGGTTTTTAAAAAACAGTCAATTCTGTCAACCATGTGCCCACAGTGTGGACAGCAGGGCTGGGAACAGAAGAGGAGAGTATATCGCCTGCCCTTGTAGGTAGTGGTCAGAAATGCTTCTGAACCTGTATGCATAGTGCATGCTCCCACAGCAAAGAATCATCCAGGCCCAATGGACAAAGAACTGAGGTCAAGAAATCTTGTTCTCCACTGCCAGAAACTAAAAGCATGAACAGTCAGCATGGTGTTGGGAGCTTAAGTGAAGCCAAAACCAATTCTCTATGGCTGGAGTCTTGGCCATAACACCAATACCAGGGTTTCAAACTGTGCTTAATAAAGTGACACTGCAGGATCCAGCAGATGTCAGTCCACTGGCTACAAAATCAGGACAGCTAATTCTGCTCTAATTCCTAATCCCACCGCTCTGCTGGGTAAACTCCAAGGAAGAGGAACCAAAGCAGGATGGCAAGTGATAACCTACAATGAAGGATGTTAGGGAATGAGGGGACAGAAGACGTGTTTGGGAGCAAGAGCTATTATTAGGTGATCTGAAAGCTAGGGATCAACCACTAGGTGAGATCCCCAGCAGGAATGGTTGCAGACTCTGGGAATGTCCTCCTTCATGTGCAGTAGGGAGGGAAAACATGGATGGATCCTCGGCAGGGGAGATCAACCAATCTGGCCCAAGCCACAACTCCAGTCCCAGCTCTTGAGTCAAGCTGTGTGATATTAGGTGAGTCTCAAGTCTTCTCCATAAAATCAGGAGCTGGCCTGGGCGCTGCAGGACTGGGCTCAGCTCTTATCATTCTCAATGTTTTCTTGTTTGGGCACATAGGAATCGAAGTAACTTCATCCTAAGAAGCCAGCATTGTCCATTTATTAATTTGTAATAGCATGTGGTGAAGGGAATAAAGAACAAAAAGAACTCATGTGGTTTTACACCCTCAGGAAAACTTTAATTGGATAATCCCTCATTCAACAAACACCAACGAGCATCTTCTTTGACTAAGATATGAAAACTTCTGTATTTTAGTTTTTAAAAATGTGTTTGAAACAAACCCGGAGCTCTTTAAAAGTTTATTTCCCAGGATTTACAGCCGTTAACATTCAGCTCCCCAGTGCAGTTCCTCGCTGCTGTGTTCACACAGGACAGATGGGTTTCCATTAGCTAATCTGCTTCCAGGTGGTGCTGACACAGCACAGACTTGCATATTCCTCTCTGTGGGAAGTAGAGGTGCAACTTCTATACTTAACCTGCCGACAACCTGCTACTACAACTTTCCTGCGAGCCTTGGCTTTGCACAGAGCTAAAGTCAGCTCTCAGAGAATAAATGCAAATGAGGAAACTGGAAACTTCAGCACTAGGCCCTCATTCCACACAGCTCCAGTTCTTGTTCATCTCGGCAGGCTATGTTCACAGTTACTGCTGACTCCTGGCCTTGGTTGTGCTCTGTGCTGAAGAGCTGTCTGCTGGTAGACCAGAAGGCCTCAGCTTCAACAGCTACATCTTCAAAAAGGCCACCTGTGGGGGGTGGGGGTGGGGACAAACAAACAAACAAACAAACAATACTTTACTAAGAGAACATGATGGAATGGCAGGCTGCACATCAAATCCAATTGAGGGGGCAAATCTGGTCAACAGGATACATACCCATCTCCCAGAATCAAAAGAAATGACTTAGGCAAGGCAGACATTGGATTTTACAGCAAGAACCAATCAATCTTTTTTAAATGAACCATCAAGTAATTAGAATGACTTACATCCACTTTAAAGAAAAAATAGAGTTTTAATTGACAGTAAAGTTATATATCCATGAAGTAATCTAGTTCATGTTCTCATTGGTTCAAACCACTCTTTTTGACATTGTTAGCAGAATTCGGAGTCTAGATGATTGCCAGGCAATTCTCCGTCCTTAACACTGTTGGTAAGTACATCATCTTCTCCTCAGGTCATGTTGATACTTTTAATCATATGCAATTAGACGTGTTGTGTTTGCCAGTAGCAATTCATCTTCACCTACTGTTTAAAAGAAAACTTAATTCATACAGGCTTATGTGCAAAACTATTTTCAAGCTATCAACAGGGCCCAGAACAAATGCCTGGAACTTCCCAATAGTTCTAATAATGGTGAAACAAGCAATGATAACGGACCATAAATGTTTATGGAGTTTTAGTTCAGAGGTGACAAAAATTGGGAACTGTACTAACATCAGGAAGAGAGTCAAACACAGAGAGGATGCTGGCCAGAGTGGAAGGTTTGGGAAGCTTGTGCTAGGCCAGATGGGAGTAAACTCGCCCATTCTTAGAGAAGTATCTGTAGCTAGAGTTTTCCTGGTCCTGCCTGGCCCACGGTCAGGACAAATCTCTCTTACCTGCCAGTCCCGCAACTGCTCAGACCCAATTGAGTAAACACACAGAGACTTACATTGCTTACAAACTGTATGGCGCGGGCAGGCTTCTTGTTATCTAGTTCTTCTATCTTAAATTAAACCATTTCTATAAATCTATACCTTGCCACATGGCTCGTGGCTTACCAGTATCTTACATGTTGGTACTCATGGCAGTGGCTGGCAGTGTCTCCTGACTCAGCCTTCCACTTCCCAGAATTCTCTCTCCTTGTCCCGCCTATACTTCCTGCCTGGCTACTGGCTAATCAGTGTTTTATTTATTAACCAATCAGAGCAACACATTTAACATACAGAACATCCCACAGCAAGTATCAGTGGCATGAGGGAAGTTGGGGCCTTCCCAGCTGCAGTGTAAGGGGCATGTAGTTAATGATCCCTGTTACAAGGAAAAGAAAAAGGCAGAGCCTTGCAGTGCAGGAGGCATTGGCTTTATGGAGAGTACTTCAGAGGACCTTGCTCTTCATATGGTGCTAGAAAGAAAGCTCCTGCTGAGTTTCCGTATCAACTTCCTGCTGAGCTCCTATATCAAGTTTTGCAATGAGAGCACCAAAGTTGAGGGAACAGACAAGGAAGAAGGGTTACAGTTCCTAAATGACATCTAAACTCGGGACAATTACAACTGGTATAAGCTTCCAGGGCTTTCTGTGATGATCAAATGAGATAATAGGCTGGGTGAGGGTGGGAAATGTGTTTTAGGGCAGGCCAGGCTCTATAGTGTGTGTAAGCTAGCCTGAGCCACATAGTAAGGCCCTGCCTCAAAAACTATGAATAAATAATAAAAATATAATGGTTATTAAAAGATAGTATGCTACAAAAATTCACATGAGTTTTTTTCCCTCTTTGTCTCCCACTTTTCCACTGTTACCAGATGGGAAGGGGCGTTCAAGAGAGACTCCTGTGTGTCCCATTAGGGATTAAGGAGTGGGTATAGAATTAGATGAGATGGGAGACCACAGGTCATTGCTTCTGACACAGGGCCCATTGAGGGCAGTGGTTACTGTGCTTCTAGCCCACTGGGAGAGAAAATACACCGCCTTCTAAAGGCAAAATCAATTAACTCTTTTAATTCTGCAAATTACTGTGGCATGGAGTAGTTGCAAGGGGGATGAACAATCATGAAAAGTGCCTAGAAAATTTAGCTCTGCAGTCAGACGTCTGACTAGACTCTGAGACAGTTTTGGTTGTCAACAACTGGGAGAGGGTGGTGACGGACATCTAAGAGGGGGAGGTAGAGTGTTGCTGAGTGTCCTAAAAAAATCACAGGACAGCCCCCTCAAATGCCCCCAAATGTCAACAGTGCGGTGCCGAGAAACACTGTAATTACAGAATCGTTTTGTGAAACCAAATCCCTCATTGACTAGTTCTGTGACCTTGAATAGGTTGGTTAACCTCTTTCCATCTTTCCACACCTGCAAAATGGGAAGCGTAAAAGGCCCACCTGAAACCTGTAAAGCATTTTATAGTGCAGCGAGCTTGTTTTGACTGTTTGCCCTGAGCACAGCCCTAGGATCAAGGCAGGGCATCGTTTGAAACACGGTTTATGAAGGAAGAAACAAGCTCCGAAAAACGAAGCGACTCGCTGAGTGCACAAAACCTCTCAGGAGGCAACGGTGGACTCGGGAGAAACTGTGATTTGAAACCCCTCCTCTTCTTACCATAATCTTGCAGATAAGTGAGAAAAAAAGCGAGAGGCCCAGGGACCTTCCATCCCCCTGACGCCTCGAACATCCAGACAGCTTTGGTTTCCTACGCTTGTGATAGTGAACCTAGAGAACAGTAACCCTGGAGGCTCAACCAACCAGTTGTGCAGAGAAGCCCCCCCGCCAAGTAAGGAAAACCTGACATTTGGACCTCGTGAGCTTTCATCTCTAGTTTTGTTAGCTTTCCCTACCAAGTACATCATGTACTTCCTAAGTCTCAATAACAAAGACATGTACTCAAACTTGGGGAGCGGGTATTACCTGATGCTTTGTGGTGCCTTTTATTTAAACTGAAGTTGAGTTAACTATTTCAAAAGCCAATTTTGCGTTCTCTCGCTTTTATTTGTGACAGGATAAACTGCTTCCATTACTGCCATTTATTTTGAGAGAGGATAATCTTTTTGCTTTTACGATGCTGAGAAAATCCTGTTTCAATGCTTTCAGACCACATGAATACAGCTGCACCTCCAGGCTCTTCTTGCATTTCTGGAATATACAGTCACAAAAATGTAAACAGTGACTTGAGACATCAGAAGAGAGGACTCTTTCTATGCCATAAGATATGACTCTGTGTTCATGCACCCGAATATGGACACTTGGAAGGCAGACGAGCTAAGAGATCTAAAGATAATGGCCCTGCTTTGAGTCATCTAAAAACAGTGGTCTTAAATGACAAAACATAGAACTAGACTGATGGAGTGGCGGACCACAAGTTAAGTCTACAGTGCTTCAGTTACACAGGAGCGACATGTTAAACACTTAAAAACATCCTTTAATCTTAGTTAATAGCTGTATTGTTAATGGAGATTTCAATCAATAAAAAGACATGTTGTCAAAGCAGGTCACATAAGATATAATTTGCATTTTTAAAAAGCTATCTAGTGCTTTGGGATATGTTAAACAAACCCAATAAGACTATAAAATACTGAAATTTTTGAGTTTCATAATTGCAGGTTTTGATTTTTTATATAGTTTTTAAAATTTTATGTGTATGAGTGGTTTTGCCTGCATATATATCTGTACACATGCCTGGTGTCTACAGAAGTCAGAAGAGGGTGTCCAGTGCCCTGAAACTGGAAATAGAGACAGTTGTGAGCTACCATGGGCATGATGGGAATAGAACCTGGGTCCTCTGGAAAACCAGCCAGTGCTCTTAATAGTTGGATCATCTCTCCAGCCCCTCATACCTGCAGGCTTCCAAAATGATTCTACAATAAGTAATCATAGCTATACATAGATTTCCCTTTTAAGGGGAGCTGTTAACATGAAATAGATTGGTTTTATAGTAAGACAAGAAAATTTTATATTTTATGCTTTATATGGTAAAACATACCTTATATTATAGTTTCTAAGACCCAAACTCCATTTATAAAATAAAAGATAATTGTGAATACAAAGAGAAATTTAAAAATCTAGCTTTTTATAACATTTATCAAATATGTTTGGCATCTTAAAGTAACACTGGGATTAAGTAATCCTCTTGACTCCCTAGCTCAGTGTTTATCAGGAGACTGTTGACAGCACCCACACCTGGCTTTTGAGTTGAATATTGTATAAGATAGTCCTCCCTCAGGGCTGGCAGGCTGACTTGATTTGTCTATTGACTCTGTCTCTGTTTTATGCCACTGTTTGTCCCAGTAACCACATCGAGAAGCAAGGATTCCCTCATGGTGCTAACACAGGAGTGGGGACCAGCCAAGCAATGACATGACCTAATAAGATGGATATGTTTAAGATGGCTGCCTAACACTCACTGAGGGGAAGTCACCACCCAAGTTATGAAAAGAAGACAGACTTCTAAAGCAGTTCCCCAAAGGAAGTATGTGGTATTGTATTCCCCTAAATATTGTGCATGCTAATAAACTTATCTGGGGTCAGAGACAGAACAGCCACAATATTAAACATAAAGGATAGGCAGTGGTAGCACACGCCTTTAATCCTAGCATTCCAGAGGCAGAGATCCATGTGTTCAAGGATACAGACAGGCATGATGACTCATCACGCCTTTAATCCCAGAAAGCGAGCCTTTAATCCCAGCGAGTGGTGATAGAAAGCAGAAAGGTATATAAGGTGTGAGGACTGGAAACTAGAAGCATTTGGCCTGGTTAAGCATTCAGGCTTTGGAGCAGCACAATTCAGCTGAGATTCGTTCTGGATGAGGACTCAGAGGCTTCCAGTCTGAGGAAACAGGACCAGCTGAGGAATTGGCGAGGTGAGGTTAGCTGTGGCTTGCTCTGCATCTGATCTTCCAGTTCACCCCAATACCTGGCTCAGGTTTGATTTTATTAATAAGAACTTTTAAGATTCATGCTACAGCCGGGCGGTGGTGGCGCACGCCTTTAATCCCAGCACTCGGGAGGCAGAGCCAGGCGGATCTCTGTGAGTTCGAGGCCAGCCTGGACTACCAAGTGAGTTCCAGGAAAGGCGCAAAGCTACACAGAGAAACCCTGTCTCGAAAAACCAAAAAAAAAAAAAAAAAAAAAAAAAAAAAAAAGATTCATGCTACAGAAGTAACTATGGGTTTTGTACTGGCAAAAAGAGACAGTGAAAGTCAGCCTGACAAAGAGTTTGCTGCACACAGATTCCCACTGAAAGATGCTGGCTTGCTGAAGGGACTCCGGCAAGCAGTCGGAGGGGAAGAAGTCCCTGCTGCACCAACAGGCAGAGGCTACAGGTGCATTTGACTAGACTCTGGGAGCTCAAGCACAACCTTCCACTCCAGAGGGTCCGCATAGACTTAGCAGAGACCTTCAAACTGTGGGGGCAGAGTGAGATGATATCTGTGGATTAGTATAAACCTTCATCTGGGATTTCCTGTAAGCCATGGTTGACACTGTGATGACTGGCATATAACTCAAAAAACTTGTTGGTTTTCATGCACCAGGGAAATAGGGAAGCTGAGTTACTACTGGGAGAAGGGCAGCCAGGGGCTCCATCTAAAGACAGGACAGAAAACACGGACCAACACATCTGGACCGACACATCTGCCACTTGTCAGAGTTCCAGCCTTCAATAAAAGCAGCAAGTTCAGGGCACATACGTATCATCACTTCTTTCAGAACATGCAGATTATGGAAGGCACTGCCATCGCTGGACAGCGCTACTGACGCTGGAGTGAACAGCCAGTTCTGAAACCCCAGTTACATAAAGCAAACCCAGTCACTCTGCTAAGGACAGCAAACCCACAGGACACACATTTACATGAGAATAGTCTTTAAAGGGCTTCATAAAAATCTACCGCCTCCAGCACAAATTGTATTTGTTAGGAAATAATGACATTCATGTGGGTGGGTGCTAACAATGCCAGATATAAAACAGTGCTACCTCAATAAATACACCATTATCCAGACATTCAAAAGTCCTAGTTTCTCTTCTCTCTGGAACAGCTGTGAGGGGCATCCTGGAGCAAGCACATGGTGACACCAGGGAAGCTATGGACCAGGGTATTTGGAAATCCGGTCCCATTGGTACCAGCCCCTGAACAAACAAATGTAGTTGGGAGTGAAGTTCCTGGAAGCCACAGTCTTTTCTGCGGTATCAATTCATTGAAACAGTTACCGCTCTCCTGAAAGGTGGCTTTAGTACAAAACAAAACAAAACTGGTTTTATTTGTTTTTGTTTTGCTTTGTTTTGTTTTAAACATACTCTATTAAGGAAGCCACTGCCTCTTTCTTTGGAGGTTCAGAAGCCTGAGTGCTGAGGACAGAATCAGGATGTCCAACCCTCATACCAGGCAACTAAAGAGCTTTCTGTATCAGGCGAAATCACTGAATCATCAACTTTAGGGACAGTTTTTAAGTTCTGATCTGGCCTGAAACAGTAATTCCAATCGAGATGCAAGTAAGGCAAAAAGCTCTTCCTGGAAAATATTTCTAAGCTACTATCAAGGGCAGAGGAAGAAATGGCCAGTGAGGATGTAGTTGGGGACTCCACCAGTTAACACTGAGAAAACGCCATGAATGTTATATGTAAGCAGCAATGAGATGTTATAATTAGAGGCCTTCAGGTCAACACCGTTTGGGTGTACAGGGGCAGAACTCTGTCAGGCAGGACTGGTGACTCAGGTGATCTGTCATTCTCTTCAGGGAAAGGGTTAGCAAAGTCACAGTCACACTTTCAAACTGTCTTGGTTAATTTTATGTCATACCCGAGCAGCTTTGCTTCTGTGATTTGCTTTAATAATTTATTTCTAATTATATGAAATATAGCTCCAACTAGAAAATATAGAAAAGTACACACAAAAAAGAGAACTATAATTTTTGTAGCTCTATTACTCAGAGATACTGGATAATGTTTTGGTTTTCTTTCCAGATGTTTATTTATCATATATATTTGATCATTTTTATATACGCTGTTTAGTAATACATTGCTTATGTTTAACCAACTGATGTATTGTGGCAGTTTTCACATGCCAGTAGTATTCTTTATGATAAATTTTAATGGTAACATTATATATTACTATATATTTATCACTTAAGGAAGAAAAAAGTACAAACATATAACTTCTTTTGCCAGAAACAAAATCTGGGAATTTAGGGTGGAGTGGTACTGAGCACTGTGGTTCTGGGGTGCTGTCTCTGGACCGGCATCATCCCCATCTCTGATGCTGTCTCTGGACCAGCATCATCCCCATCTCTGGTGCTGTCTCTGGACCAGCATCATCCCCATCTCTGGTGCTGTCTCTGGACCGGCATCATCCCCATCTCTGGTACTGTCTCTGGACCGGCATCATCCCCATCTCTGGTGCTGTCTCTGGACCGGCATCATCCCCATCTCTGGTGCTGTCTCTGGACCGGCATCATCCCCATCTCTGGTGCTGTCTCTGGACCGGCATCATCCCCATCTCTGGTGCTGTCTCTGGACCGGCATCATCCCCATCTCTGGTGCTGTCTCTGGACCGGCATCATCCTCACCACCCAAGAACTTATTAAAGAAGAGTTATCCTGCCTTACTCTAGACTCACTGGAACAGACACTCAGGGGAAGTAGCTTTCCGATAGGGCCTTCCTGATGATTCTGGTTACCTTCTACTGTGACAGCCATTAGTGTAGTCTGATTTTACAAAGCTAAGCAAGTGATACTGGGGAAGGTACCTGACTTGATGAAAGCCAAAACATAGGTTTTCTCTTTACCAAAGTGCATTCTAGACCAGCACAAACTAGGTACTCTGGCATGAGTGTCCAAAACAACCAGCAACCACGAACCTGAGAAGGCACAGGTAACGATGATGGTAGGGGTGGGGTGGGGGGAGTCAATAACAGGAATGAGGGATGGAGCCAGGGAGGGAATAGTCAGATACATTCTATAAATGTATGAAATTGTCAAGCAAGATTAATCAATTAAAAAAAAACCCAAAAATTCTTCTTTAAAAGAAAACATCTTTTTCCTCTAGAAGAGAAACAAAACGGGAGGGAAATCAAATTAAAGTAGAAAGAACCAGATTAAGTCCAGTGCTTTTGTTCTGAGACATGCATTATTACAGATCTT